AATATATTGATGAGTTATTTCAACATGTGCAACTCAAATACTACATACAAATACCAAAGATAAGATAGCCTAACAGTAAATCTGCCGCAACAGTTAAGGGTTGATAGTTGCAGATCTCAGATTTGAATCCAAGCGAGGCCCGTTGGTATTCCCAGAGGTAAAAGGCTCCTAGGGGCGAAGCCTCGTTGACGTCGAATTTGATTGCATGTGGCCCCCAATTTTAGTATGCCCCGCTATCACAAAGTGACATGTGGGCTGAGGTTCCTCGGTAATAAAAAAATACTACATACAAATAATCCATACACTTTTTTGAACATGAGTTATTTCTAACTAACTTATTCCTTCCTTTACTTTTTTCCTTTTACATACCAAATACTACATTTCAAATTTATGAGTTATTTGCGCATAAATACCACACCATAATCATATCCCTATAAGACTACTAACTAAACAAAAATGGTAAATCACCCACTACTATTACTGAGGGTGCGTTTGGATAAAATAATTTGGATTTGTTATTTGTGATTTGGATTTCGAAATATAAAATCATGTGTATGGATATTAATTACACTTGGTATTTGAATTTGTGTCAAATTTATGGGGTGATTTCCTAATACATGTCTAGTGTATTACTTGTCAACTTGAAATACATTTCAACAACTAGTGTTTTGAAATACCTCCTAACAAAAGATTGGACCTATTTGTAAAATATTAAAAGTTTAGGTACTATAGTATGAGGCAAAACATATAAATGTACCAAAATGTAATTTTACCATCAAAATTTCAGGACCTTTTTGTAAAATTTTAAAAGTTTAGGTATTAAATTATAAGAAAAAATAAATTTGGTCACAAACTGTAATTTACAAAAATTTGTAGTAAGTGACCATAAAATTCAAAATACAAACAAATTACAAATGACTATCCAAACAACGAATTTGAATTACATGTATTTCAAATGCTAGAATTTCAAATACATTCATTTCAAATGCATGTGTTTCAAATACCTTACATTTGAAATACACCTATCCAAACGTATCCTAATAGAAATCCTTGCGCAAACACCAACTGCCATGAAAGTCTTATCTGATCCATAACTGGTGATCGAGAAAAAACTTAATTTTGGTCAATATAGCTCATCAAAATAAACTATTCCGAAAATGAGTAACAAGATTATAATTAGAGCGATAATTAGTCAAATTCGTTGCTTTTATCGTTAGGAATCCCCGCTTTAAAATCCATTTTGCTGGTATTTACTATATACTGAAAGTGCATATTTTAATCGCATTAAAATAGAAATCCACATGACCAGTGGCGGACCTAGTAAAGGGCAGGGTGTGTCGGACCCGGAAATTTCGTGAAGTACCTATATATTTTTGGTACATTTTTTTAATTCGGAACTTCCGACACACCTTAAATAATTATAAGCGACACCTTCATTATACGAGAATGATTTTCTTGTTATAAAGTTATTTATCTTAATTAGTAATACACAATAATAAGTAAATTCAAACAAGTTTCAAAGTTATTTATGCTTGTTTTAGAGTAACCCACACCACAACCTAGGGATGGCAATATGGCGGGTTTGCCTAAACCAACCTCATCCCCATTTCCAAATATTCAAACTCATACTCGTCTCATACCCATGCAGTGGAAGGTCTTACAAACTCATCCCCATACCCGCGGTTTTCGGATACCCATGGGTAATATCGCCTCAACAACTACTCACCATTAATCAAAGAATATGGTGACAAATATGGATACTACCCACCACAATTATGGAACTAATACATATGAGGATGAAAATACGGTTTGGTTGTCATCAATTACAGTTTAACACTTTATTTTTTCTTTTAATTACCATTCATTGGATTAACAAGTTACAATACACTCCTTATATTTTATGTATATAACATAATATCCTTGGTGGGCGGGTTTGGGTATGGGTATGGAGCGGGAGAGTCAAAAATGATACCCGCCCATACCCATCAACCTTTTTGAGGGTTTTATCCATACGCCCCCCATACCCAGTCAACGCAAGGATTCCTGCGTTGACTGGGCCGGAGGAGGTCGGGTACCCGCGACCATGGGTTTGGTTGTCATCCCTAACACAACCCAACAATGGAAAAAATAAACATAACCCCATCCTTTCAAACTCACCGTTTCCACCCCTTGACCCATCCTTTATTGAAAATAAAAAACTCACCCTTACCCTGTTTTAGTTTCTAATTACTGAGAGCCACTACCACTTCTCCCTTTTCTTTTACCCTTTAGTTTTACTTGCTTTTGGAAGTTGGTGTTGACTTTACATGTTGCAATTGAAAGTTGCGAAAGATTTCAGCTGTGAAGATAATAAGGAATGAACTCTGAAATCGGTTGAGTGACCAATTTATGAATCATTGTTTAGTTGTGTATATCGAAAAGGATTTGCTTCGCAACATAAGCAATGAATGTATTTAAAGATATTTCTAGTAAACATGAAATTTATGAATTAATTTTTTAATAATTTTTTAAATTAAATTTTTAATTATTATATTATTTTATCGGCGACACACCTCTCCGGCAATTCTGGGTCCGCCACTGCACACGACTAAGTGTTTGTGCAGGGCTAGTGGGTAGGAGGGTTACACATTAATGAAGAAGAACTCGTTGTTTTTTCGATAAGGAAAAAATATGGATTGATGAAGAAGATTACAGTAGAGAGAAGTGGTAGCATTCCCATTGAAAGCGAAGACAAAGTGTTATAGAGAGAGAATGGTATGAAATCCGATCCCTTTTCCAAGAGGAGTAAATGTTGTATTTATAGCTTCTTTGGTTTGGTGAACAAATCATGGCGACAAGACGGAAGTGTTAGAGCAGATATGCGGGCCCCTCAAGCGATATTTGTGAAAATGCCATTGAGCGGCTTGGTCTTCCCGCGATAGCAATCGCGCCGAGTGGATGGTCCGACGCAGTTGCAGCAGCGCGAGTGGGTAGCTAAGCGTGGTGTGGTGTGCTTCACGCGCTTCTTGCGGTTTTTCCCCAACAATTGCCCCCCATCAAGAGGTAGTCTGTGAGTACCTCCTGCGTTGGTCCTCGTATGCAACACTTAGCATTTCGTGGTTGCACCTTTTTTGCCCCCTAAGGCCATTTATTTAGTTCCAACGATTGTGATCCCCGGTTCTTGGGTTTTTTGCTTTGGCGGCCCCCTGCGTTGGTCCTTGTACGCCACGTTTAGCGTTTCGTGGTTGCACCTTTTTTTTGCCCCCTGACGCCATTTTTTCGTGTTAGTAGCACTTTAGTGTCAGGCATGTTCCGCGTTTGCAGTTTCAATTCTCCAGTGAGTGGCTTTATTTCCGCGGTTGTAAGCCTTTTGCATGATTGTGTTCCGCGGTTCTTGAGTTTATTGCTTTAGAGGGGCTGCCCCCCCCCCACCCCCCCCCCCCCCGAGTCGAGGGTGCGCTGGCAGTGAGGCGTTGAATGATCAATACATGGCACTCTCGTAGCCTTTCGTTTAGGCGATGGATTTGACAGGCTGGCGCGGGTTCCAAGGAACTACAACGACGGTTGAACTTCTTTTCCTTGCTATATATAAAGAAGGTGGTGTGTTTGTAGTTGGACTCATTTTCCATCAGTTGAACGATAGAAACATGAACATCTTCTTTCTCTTCTTTTGTGCTCTCTCTGTTGCTTGTTGCCCCGTCTTCGCTTCCGATCACCTTTTCGGCATCGTTCGTGTGTTCTGGGTTTAGGATGGACACCAAGAAGATTGTCGCTCAAGCAGTGATCGAGATCGACGACGGAGGTAACGATTCTTCTGACCCTCTGCAGATTTTAGGGACATAGGAGTATAATTGGAGCATTCCTCCTTGGGCAGAGCACTGCTAGTGAATCCCGACTTTGATTCCACCGGCGGCAGCGAATTCTTGAGGAGCTCGTCTGACAGAGTGACTTGTTGTAACGACGGCGAGGAGAATTTGAGGGAGGTCTGTTCCAGGGAAGGACAGCGCGGTGACAAAGAGATAGGGCAGATTGTGGAAGGAGAGAGATTTGGTATCGCCGATGGCATGGATACAGATAGTTCGCTTGCCTTGTTGGAGCCTGAGGGCAACTCTCTCTTTGCGCTTGTGCGCATGACGGAAGCAGTGGCGCGGTTGGGAGCGAACTTGGCTGATGTCGACTATAGTAGCCTAGATTAGGCGGAAATGTTCGCAGAAGGTGACGTTCCTTCTGAGTATTTTTTGCGCGGCCCCGACCACACCTCTATCTTCAGCCGAGAAGATGTGTTGAAGTATGTGAGCGGTCTCGGTTTGCCGTGACACTGGCTATACGCCGCCCCATCAGAGTGTAGCCACGTTGGTAATTTCCTGGGTATGGCGTTTGCGCGGAGTATTGGCAGATGGGCTTCAAATTTCTCATTGAGCCTTTGCTTTGCCGATTGTAGAGTCTGGTGAAGTGTTTAATGGCAAGTTTCTCTCCTTCTGTCATCTTTCTTACTTGCGCGCTGCGCACTATGTGCAAACGGTGGAACTTGCATCTGTCGTACGACCTCTTACGCAAGTTCTATAAACTGAAGGTCCCTCTTCTGACTGGGCCGAAGAGAGGGAACCACCTTTCGATTAAGGAACGAGATAACCAGCCGGGTGGATATGTGTACGGGTTGCCCAAGCTGGACAATGACTGGTTTGAAAAGTTTTTCTATGTGAAGCCGATGCCCGAGGAGTTTACCATTTTACCCATGACCTTAACCTCTTCGTGGTTGAATGGCTTCGTGAAATATTTTGAGTCGACATGTTGCTGATTGAACGCGTGGATCTCCATCAGAATGGACCAAGGGAAGCTATGCTTTGCGAGCTTTTGGTTGACGGTTAGTGTTCTTCTTCCTTTGGTCTCACTTCTTGTTGTATTAATCGCATTCTTACAACTCTTCTTTGTAGGAGTGGATACAACTCTTCGCGTCGATGATGATGGTTGTTGATCTCTTCGCGCTGACGAAAGGTCAAGGTGGCGGGAAGAGGAAAAACATGAGCACGACGGTGAATCCAAAGATGGCCAAGGCGGCGTGGGTGGAGCTCTAGGTGGAGGCGGTGTCCAAGAAACCTCCAAGATAGGAGAAGGTGGGTAACGGAAGCTATGGTGGTCAGCTGGTGAGGCCGAAGAAGGGAGTGGGCGGAAGATTTGGAGGTCAACTTGCGCAACAGACGTTGCCTGACATGGCGCCCTTCCGGGAGATACAGTTGCCTATCGTGGCTGCGCAAAATCTTCCTGCTGCTCTAATCGCGTTGAAAGTGGTTGGTGCCGCTCTCGCACTTCCCGCCCATATGAAGAATAGTGATCTATATGTGGATCTAGCTCACGCTCAATTTCAGGTTTGCGTTGCTTTACTCCCTTTCTTTTCTTTTCCAAGTTGGTAGGCGGATTAACCTCATCTATGACTTGTTTTAGGCTATGGAGGCGAGTTTTCGCGCTCAAAAGGAAGGGGCGGATATCATGGCATAGTTGAGTTCGGAGCAGGCTAAGGTCATAAGGCTATAAAGCCAGCAGGCCGGCACTGAACAACGCTTCTATACTGTTTAGAAGAAGTGCAATGACACCCTTGTTCGTGTGGACAAACTAACTCGCCAACTGAAGGACGATGTCGCGCCGAACGGGAGAAAGCGCGGTCGGAGGAGCGGGCTGCCATCCGAGAGGAGTTGGAGAAAGAGTTTGAAGAAAAGCAATCTTTCCGCTGCTGAGGTGGAGAAGGTGGCCCTTGTCGCGGAGACAAAACAAGCATATAAGAAATCGACCTCCTTCGGCAAGCATTTGGCGGATTGCATGGACTGCGCCATCATGTTGGTTCGGAAGAAAGTGTGCCCGAATAACCCCGAGGCTCGCTGGAACACACGCGATATAGTGCACCATGTGCAATGCTTTTGTGCAGATAATCGACCGCTGACAGACGATTCGGAAAGTGAAATGGATGAAGAAGGCAACGTTGGGTCTGGGAGTGGTGTGGTTGCTAACATAGTCAACCTCTGATTTTACTGATTTTTTTGTGATTCTTTCCTTTTTGTTTGAGCGACTGTATTGCCAGTTTGACTGGTCTTCGTTCTCGTCTACTCCACTTCGTTGTCTTGTTATGATCAGCTTAGTGCTTGGTTTGTTGACCTTGTTGGAGATTTAAACTAGGAATTATTGGTTCAAAACTTGACAAGTTGGGAGGCGGATTCTGTACTCGTATATTTCCATTGCGCGAGTGTTAGTTCACATTTACATAGTAGAGAAGCAAATTCCGCAATCGTATATTTTGTTGCGTGAGCTTTTAATTCTCATATTAGAGAGGCGAATTTCACGCTCGTATATTTTGCTGCGTGAGCGTTTAGTTCTCATAGTAGAGAGGTGGATTATGTACTCGTATATAGGAGAATAACATTGTGGTTAACTTGACATTCATGTTTGAGATATTACAGTGCTTGAGAGGGTCGATACAAACGCAAGTTTTGCACATTCCACGTTCTAGATATTTTCATTCCGCTTAACTCTGCTAGCTTGAATGTGCTCGCGCCCACCACTTCTCTTATCTGGTAAGGGCCTTCCCATGATGCGAGGAGTTTTCCGTGCTTCTTGTTGGGTCGGAAGTTCCGCCACAACATTTGGTCTCCGTGTTTGAGGTTATGTGGCCGAGGCTTCGCATTATGATAACTGGCAATTTGTGCATTTTTCGCTGCGAGGCGAATAACTGCCAACTCTCGGCGCTCTATGGCTAGGCCGAGGTCTATTCAGCGCATCTCGATGTTGTCATCTTCATTGTATAGTTGAACTCTAATGGCAGGGAAGCTTGTTTCTATGGGAATGACTACTTCATCCCGTACGTGAGCGCGAATGGGGTCTCTCATGTGGAGGTTTTGTATGATGTGCGATGCGCCCATAGAACGTTGTAGAGTTCATCCGGCCAGTTGCAGTTCTCCCGGTTTGAGACATCTAGAGCCACCATTAGAGATAGAGGAACCCATTTTAAGGGTCAATTTGATAAGCTTCTCTCTCCCTATGGTCTCACCCACAAGGTGTCTATTGCCTACCACACCGAAATGAGTGGGCAGGCTGAGCTGACAAATCGGGAGGTCAAACGCAAAATTGAAAAGACGGTGGATCGATTCCACAAGGATTGGTCCACCAAGCTCGATGATGTTCTTTGGGCATATCAGACTGCCTACAAGACACTGATAGACACTTCTACATATTGGCTCATCTATGGCAAGGCATGTCACTTGCCCGTCGAGCTAGAGCAAAAGGCCTTTTGGGCCCTTAAGCTGCTGAACTTGGATGTGATTCTTGCAGGTGTTTAATGCAAAATGTAGATGTTGGAGTTGGAGGAATGGCCTTACCACGTCTACGAGAACACCAAGTTGTACAAGTAGCAGACAAAGTATCTCCACGGCACGCGATTGAGAGCCCTGAAGGAGTTTCAGGTTAGAGATCGAGTTCTTCTCTATAAATCTTGCCTAAAACTATTTCGTGGAAAGCTCCACTCCAGATGATCGAGACCGTTCACGGTCATGCAGATGTTCCCTCTTGGCATTGTCAAGATTTTCAACCCGCAAACTAAGCCGTTTAAAGTGAATGGACACTGCCTCAAGCTGTATATGGCAGGCGAGGTCGAACGCGCGGAGTTGGTGGTTGAACTCGCGGACCTTTAGTTTCGCTGATTGCGTCTCGCTAAAGACGTAAAATAAAATGCTTGTGGGGAGGCAACCCCACCACGGTTTGCATTTCTTTTCCTTTTCTCTTTTGTTTTTTTTAGTCCTTGTGTCATTGAGTCTGACTGGTGTCTGGAACCTATTCAGTGACCCCGGGTGGTGTGTTTTTGTCTGTGATTGTGTGTATTTTGAACCGGGGCACGGATGTGGTTGGGTTGTTTAAAAAAGCGGTTTGGAATTTTTTCACTTAAAAGCACGTTCAAGGGGAGGAAAAACACGGTCGTCTTTTTATCCCCCTTAGCCCGTGTTTTCCCCACACCCAACCTACTCTCGTCCTAAAATGCACGGGCACAGGGAAGAAAAGCATGATCGTGCTTCATTCCCCCTTGCGCGTGTTTCCTTTTCTCCCTTACACCCTCTCTTACATAAAAGCACGAGCAAAGGGGACTAGAAGCAGATTCGTGCTTCAATCCCCCTTACTCGTATTTTCCCTAGGAAGTAACAGGACGCTCAGCTTAAAAAGCACGGGCAGCTAGTGAGAGAAGCCCGATCGTGCTTTTGGCCGCCCATGCTTCCCCAGGGTCTTTAAATATGGCCTCCAAGCGTGTCACTCTCTCTTCCCCCATTTTCTGCCCGTGCTCTCTCTCAAACTCGCCGAAAATCGCGCATCTCTCTCTTCTCTGACGGTTTTTGGCCAAATCTCCCTACTCCAACCTTCAAATAAAAAATCGAGACCACCACCGAGTTCATGACATCCGGGCGCTCGTCCCCCGGAGTTTTGGTCCATTTTGGCAGTGGTCAAGATGTCGACGACGAAGTTTCAGCGAGACTCCGGCGAGCGCTCCAAAGAGTTTTTCGGTGACTTCTCGTGGTGTTTCTCATTCTCCTCAACTTCTCCATGGTATCTACTTGAGTCTCCAGGTGTGTTTATCTTTTTATCTTGCCTAATTTTGTAGAATTGATACCTAGTGATCTAGGTGAGAAATTTGGGATTCGAGCTTAATTCGAACGATGTCGGTAGGCCTTTGCTTTTGCATGCTTTCCTTGATGTTTCCCCTTAATTCGAATGAGTTGGCCTACTGATTGCTTGTTAATGAATGGTGGCATTTTCTTTGAATGGTGCGAATTGATGGTGTTTGGATGGTGGGAACTTGTCTTGAATGTGCATGTGTCCCTCACTTGGAGTCTAGTCTACGGTTCAAATCTTTCGATTCAAGGGCTCCAATTGCGATTTACCCCTTCCTCTTCTTCGACCCTGCTTCTATGTCTAGCACTTGTGCCTTTTTATTTGTGGTTGCAGGACCATGAATGATTACCTGGAGCTGCTTTCCCGTGAGTAGAGGAAGACTATGTGGGAACTCAAGACCCATGCCTTCTTTGTGCATCATCACCTTGACTTTGAGGTCTTTTAGGAGATGGGTGCTAGGGAGGCAATGGAGGCTATTGTTCGCACCTACTCTTGGCAGCGCCTCCTCTAGCTCTCTGAGCCGACGCACTAAGAACTCGTCTAGGAGTTCTATTCCACCTTCCACCACTACCCCAGGCGAGCAGGCGCGCACGCCAACGCCATTCACTTCACACTTGGCGGGGTGGCTCACTCCCTCAGTTATGACGATTTTGCCCGGGTCTTGGACTGTCTTCCCCCAGTTGCTTGCCGCCTCGCCATTGAGCTGCCAGATACCCCAACTTTCCACGACTAACTCTTCTTGGACAGGATCTCTCTCCCGGAAGCTGCAGGCACTGTGTTCTAGTCGGGCCAGATACCTCAACCAGCTGTTGGGCAAGACAGTCCTACGCACCCAGTATGGGCTCCGTCAGTCACCTCCAGCTCCGGACTCTATCATTCCTATACTCGATGAGCCAGGAGGAAGACAATTTGCACTTGGCTTCTGTCATTGCCAGGACAATTTCCAAAGCTATTGTCTGCGGTCGTGCTCTTATTTGTGGGGCGGTGATCACTGCTTTGGCTCGGTACTATAGGATAGACCTCAACGGATTCACTTTGGTCTAGACATCTATACCATACATCCGGGATATTCTCCAGCGCCAGCTTTTTCTCGACCACAACGGGGATGTGACATGGATTAAGGGACTTCCTCGGCCTCCCCCTTGTGTCACTTCCCCATATGGGACGACGTGCCAGAGGAGAGTGATACCAGATTTTGACGTGGACACCATCGTCCAGCCCGCCAAGCTCAGGCGTCGTCCGGTACATCTGGCTCCGGTCTTAGTGCCAACCACTCTCTCTCGATTGCTGATCATCTGGAGCACCTCTCTTGTCAGAACGAGCAGATTCTCGTAGGGTAGGCTGACCTTCATTGCCTCCTCGACCGTGACTCCGTGAGCGAGATGGTTGGCCACATCATTTTGGGGCAGCACTACATGATGCACTATCTCGGCATGAACTCGTATGATGTTCAGTACCCCTGGGTGGCTTCCTTAGGGTATGAGGATGACTACCCACCTCCTACTGGCGGTGGAGGTGATGAATACTAGGTTGGCGCCGACTGATTCCCCATGGGATCTTGGTTTGTGTACTTTTCTTTCCTTACAAACTCAGACTTTGTTGTTGGTTTTTCTTTTCTTTTTCTCTTTTGGATTATGACAAATTAAGCTAAACCCGGTATACTATGCATTAGTATGTGGTTACACTTGGTCACTTTCTAGTGTGATGGTATTGGCGAGTCACATATTCCCTCGTGAATTTCACGTACTGCTTGTTTGGCCTCTGTAGCGCATAAGCACTTTAAGTACGCACTTGCGTGTGATCGTCTGTACAGTCCTTGGCCGATGATCGTGCATCTAGCCTCCTTTTGACGA